TATTCAACCATAGTTGAAGCTATGTCTTGTTAGGAATGGTTGAAAGAACTAGAGGTGTCTAATGTGAAAAAGGGAAACATGCCATCACATACGCATAGCTGACCAAGGCCATTTATGCTACCTCCTAATTATTCTACACATCTCTTCACTCTTCATCCCTGGTGATACTTTCCAAATTTCAAGCCCCGAAATTTCTCTATTGGAACTACTTAGAATGGCCTGATCAGTCTTTATCATCCACCTTGTCTTCCTCTAATCTCCATACTCCAGCCAAAGTGTTATTTTCCATCAGGTCGTAGTACACCCCTGTTAAGTCCTTCAGTGACTTCTCCTTTTCCTCAAGTCCAGAATCTTTAAAGTGACCTTTGGGAAGGACCCTCTTGATTGGGCCCCTGCTCCCCCTCCCCAGTTTCACTTCAGGTCTCTCCCCCTCTAACTCTCCGTGCTCAGGTCAAGCACCTTCATCCAGCCTCCTGCACCTAATGTCCCCTCAGGCTGGTTTCCCTTCAGGGAAGAAGGCCCGCTCATCTCCCACTCTACTAGTTCTACTGGACCTTCAGTTCTCAATTAAAGTCTTGTGTACTCAGAGGGTGGAGGAGGGGTGGGGAACCTCCCTCGGACAGTTTCAGTGCAGACTGCGTATCTTCCCTTCGCTCGGCTTTTCATTTTAAGTTTAGTGTCTCCACAGGTTATAAATCGTGCAGGGGCTGGTAGGTGTCCTCTCGTTTCTTGCCATTTCCTAGCCCCAGGCCTCACGTATGGCGGGTACACATTGAATGCTTTTTGAATAAAAAATACGAGTAAATTAAAAATCGGAAAATTCTTGTTCTTTGGGAATAAGGACCACACTTTTGTATGTGGCCCTAGAAGGCTGAACTTAGATCAGTTGTTGGTATTTACACTGAAGTAGAAAGTAAGAACTTCCTCATCTTTGAATCTGCCAGAGGGGAACGATGGAAGGTAAGTTCCTTTTCTGACTCTAGCTGAGAGGTTGCAAACCAATAGGCTGTGGGCTGAATGTGCCCTACCAACATACTTCAGTTGGCTCAAGCAGTGTTTTCAAAACTAGGACATTTCACACCCAAACTTTTGGCTTCTCTTGGGAAATCAGGCAACACAAAGCTGAACTGCTGAGTGACAATACGTAATTAGCTGGGTAGCAGCTAAATATGCTAAATAGTTAGGCTTGCAATCTCCAGATTACCACAGTTCCCACTAGTCCCTATTATCTGATCTGTTGTGCTAGAGTATGTTACCTACCTGGCTCTTTAGGTATATGAGTTTGCTTTCCCTGTTTGGGTAACCAAATATTCACTCTCCTCAAACTGAATTAACTTCTTAGCGATGTTGGGGAATTAGAATGGCTTTGACTAAATAAACCTCTTCCATCCCTATCATTATCTGAAATTAAACCACTTGGGATATGAGACCCTTTGCATGCTTTTGAAAAGCTAACTTTTTCCTTCTGGTACCACTTACGTACTCATTGTGTTCTCAGCCAGAAGTAGGTAATGCTGTGTCCTGCCCCATGGATGATAAATGTTTGGGTGGGTAGACGGATGGATGGAAAAAGCACAGGTGAAGCGTCTGTCTCCTTTTACTTACATGGATTTGCCCCAGTGTGTGATGCAGTACCAGTAGGGGGAGCCCTCTATTGATTTGGAAATCTCTGAGAAGAATCTGTTCAGCAGTCTAATTGTATTTAATTTCGGAATTATGCTAAGAATTTATTATCCACGCTGCCCCAGCAATTCAAGTTCACAACATTAGGAAATTAATAAATTACAGGAAGGAGAGTATGGCCTTCATAACTGAGCCCCGCCCAGGGCTTTTCTAGATGAAGGCATTCCACGTTGATATCCAGAATCTTTTAATCTGTTTGAAAGCAGCCATCATGCTCCTAAAAATTTCTGAATTGTTGGTACATTAGCCCTTAGGGCCTCATAGTAATGAGCTATCCCAAAGTGGTGGGTGTGCCAAATTGAATGAGAGCCACTCTTTTAATAGTTGCATCTTAAAAAAAAAAAAAAAAAATGGAGTAGTTGTAGATTGGTTCTAAGGTTCTTTCTAGCTCAGAGTGAAGCTAGGAAAAATTTCTTAAACGTGAGTAAAAATATAAACGTCTCTTTGAGAACTTTAGGGATTTTTTTTCTCCTAAGATCTGTCACTTTTTAAGAAGTCAGCTTATTTTGGGAAAATTTAAGTAATGGAAACTCTTAGCATATTATAGTATGCTATTCTTGGTAAAACAGTTTATGATGGTATACATGTTCTTTTTATTTTAATTTGTTTTAGCGTGTATAATTTATGGCTTTATATTTACTATTATTAATATGCATGCAGCCCTCTGTTTTGGAAAGTTCTTTTTCTTTTGTTAAGTTATTTTAACATATATCAAACTACAATTTCCTACAAAGTGTTCGTTTTTTATGGCATAGGGTTGAATATCAGGTTAAGTAATACAAGGCAGGGGCGGGGGAGGACGGAAATGGCGAGGAGGACACTTAACTTCCGTGAAGACTTAAACATTAATAAAGAGGCAAATCAAATAGTACTCAGAGATCCCAGAGCACTCTATAAAGTTCATCTAATTAAGCTTTCATCCCCTGCACAGTAAATATTCAGTTAGCCCTATAGGTAAAATTGTAAGAATTTCTAATTGAGTTGTATTCTTGGTAACACAGAGCTTAAATTATACAGTTTGCCCAAGGAAACGTGTGCAGCATCATTCTGGTATGACTTCCAATAGAGTTATCTTCGAATTTCTTCAAAATGGGCATTGTGTAATAGCATTGCTACTTTATGTAATTCTTTTCACTATTATGCTATGATTTTTAAAATCATTGCTAATGATTTCAATTGAAAACTTATTAAAGGCATTTGCATCTATTTTCTTTTAATTAGAGTGGATTCATTTTTCAGTTGCTGGACATCAGATCCTGTTTACTCCAGGCGGGTGGCTCTGGGGTAGAGGGTAGGGCAGAGAAGTGGACAAAGTGGCTGTTTGTGGTGTCCTGATTGTTGCATGAGTAGCCTGGATGCTTGGGGCTTTGCTTGGATTCTAGGGCAAGTTGTTACACCTTATTCACATATAATGGCGATACAGGTGACAATATCTGTTTTCTTATTTTACTAAAGTACCTTGAATTTTAATCTTTCAATTTGGATTTTTAGTTGTCTTTTTAAGCATTATGAAGTAGTGTTTTCTTTGTACTGTTCTTTCCCTAAAATGCCCAAATACTAGAGGTTACATGATACCTAAATTGCTTGCTTGTAAAAATAAATCACTTGCTTGTAAAAATAATTTGCATAATTTGCTTGTGTCATCAGTTTCATATTAAACTAAAAAAATGGGCAGCCTAGTTGCCCTTTGAGTATAAAGTAAAGTTCCTTCTACAAACTCTTGATTATGATGCTGGAGAAGTAAAGAAGAAAAAAAATTATTCATGTTAATTTCTTTGAGAAATAACATTAATTGTCGGCGCTTTCCTAATTACAAAACAATACAAGCAATTGCCAAAAATATGAGAAATATTTAGGAATACTAAGATGTTTGTTATATTTTAATATATCATTTTCAAGGATTTTCTAGGCTAGCCATTACCTTTTTTAGTTATCTCAACTAAATGATCTAATAATACTAATTTTGATTTTGTATGAACTACATGAGCCTCCTGTTTATTTCCTATCCAGTAAATATTTCACTCTTGAAAGTGAATATGTAGTGTCCCCCAAAGTAATTCTAAGTTGAGCTGTCATTGATAAAGACTTCCCTTTACCCTTGTACTGCATTTTGCCATGTATAATGCAATTTTTTTGCCCAAATTTTTGAGGGAAAAATAAGGATGTGCATTATACATGGGTGTAATGACACACATTAAAACATTGGTGCTCATTATACATGGGAGTGTGTTACACCTGGCAAAATACAGCTATATTTGTACAGTCTATGGCCACCTTGCATACAAAGTGATGCAGTATCTAGGTGTGATATAACAAATATTGGCCTTTCCCTTTTTGATTTTAGGCCTGTAGGACTTTGTTTTTGTGGTAAGGATGAATGAAACTGTCACTAAAAATATATGTATATAAATAGGAAACATTTGTTTTATTCTGAAAGGATTTGGTGCTCTCATTAGTGTAGAGGTATTATTGTAGCACTTTTCAGGAAAGAAAGAAAAATCATTTGCTGAATACTTTTGGAAGCAAGTATAGAAATCATGTTTAATTGATTACTATAGAAAACAAGTTAAGAAACCATTAAACGTACAAGTTATGGTAGCCTTATTTTAGCAAAATCTTGAGAGGAACCAAAAATTTCCTGGTACAGCAGTTATCACCTACAAATGGCCTAAAATTAGCACATTGAGTTAACTCTAGAGACAGCTCATGAGTTGTGAAATGGAGTTCAGATAGATAGTGAAGTTTCACAGAAATGCTTGGTATGTGATTTAAATATATCAAGATATCATGCTACCAATTAATACATATAAAGTAAAATGAGATCACTGTTAGCTTAGTTAAAATATCCTAAATGGACATAGTAAAGCCTCTCAGTTTATACATAGCATATTAAGAATTATTTGTATACACATATGCAAACAAAGAAGGCTTGAAATTGAATTTATGATTTATAATCTGATTAGGAGGAAAGATAATTTAAGTATAGGTGAAGGCACTAATTTTATAAAGCACACAGCTTTCAGGTTAACTTTTCTCAGGCTTTTCAGTGTTGTTGCTATACGACAGATGAAAAAAAAAGATCTTACATTTTTGGCAAGGAGAAATAATTTAGAGTCAGAATTTAAAAGGATAAACCAATAAATGACACAAAAGAATTTAACTTTTTCGTGAGAGGACTTGATGAATCTTTTGATCACTGAGCATTCATTAAGTATTTCCGGCTCCTTAATATTCAGGCATTGAAAACACTGCTCTTTGTGTTACGATACTAAAATGTCTTGAGTTTTAATTCACATGTATGAAGAATATATTTTGGTGCTTGCTTCGGCAGCATGTCCTAAACTCGAAATGATACAGAGAAGATGAGCATGGCCCTGCACAAGGATGACACACAAATATGCGAAACGTACCATATTTTTTGATGTTAACTGAACTTACTGTAACAATCATTTCTGTTTGCATATATCAAATCATTATCTTGAACATCTTAAACTAATACAAAGTTACATGTCAATTATATCTCATTAAACTGGGGGGAAATATGTCCAGACATTGAAGACCATCACAAACATATTTAATGTTTAGCATGCTGTTGATGAAATTTTGTGAGTAAGATTATATCTTGTGGAGTCTTATTTTGTCTGATCATTTTCTGGATAATTTTTGCCATGCAGAAAGGGGACATTGAATATATGCCATGCACACAGTGTAAAGAAATATATAGCTTCTAGTGTATACGCATTTGTATTGCCTCAATATCCCAGGTTAAAGTAATGTTTCTTATTGGACTGTATCTAAATGTGTAAGTTGATGTCTTGGAAAAAAATCTGAATTGAACTTTAAAATTCTGCACAGCCACTTAGTAAATGTTCTTACGGTGCTGAGATCCCTGGTCAGAATAAAAGAATCCATCATCAGACTTACCTGGTAGTTCTGCAGATTGATTGCTGCTCTCAAAGCCTTTCCCTTCTCCTCCCCTTTCTGCAGGAAGCTAAACGTTGGTGGACACCCTTGAGGATGCCACTTAGTGCTTTGCACGTAACATCTCATTTCCTCATTTCACACACCCACACACCCTTGCCCCTGGGTGAGACCTTTTTGTTATCAGTCTTGTCTATCTTCATTCTGTGTCTGGTGATCTCAGGACTTGGGGGAGCTGAATAATACCTTCACAAAACGCTTAGAGACCTCTTTATAATACATTATTAGCCAAGCATTGTGGTCCCCTGATGAAACATGCTAAATAAAAAATGTTTGAGATACTGCTAAGAATGTGTGTAATCTATCCTTGCAATAAAATGCTCCACAGCTGTTAATACGCCTGCTGTACTCTGTCCACACCAGCATGGGAAGCTGCCCATGTTGCAGTGCCGTGTGCAACTGCATGGCACCTTTTAGGATGCACATACTTTTACTTCTTTCTTATTTCATCCACTCAACAAAGAAGTTTTTTTCTATGCATCAATTCCATGGCATCCATTATTGTTTCTTGTAGGTGTTTTCATTTTTGCGTTTTACTCCTTCGATTAGAATTTTTTTTCCTGCCTAGTGAACGCCTATTTATTCTTTTAAGTGTAATCTGTGAAGCTCCACCTGATTCCCCAGACGTAACTAGCCCTCCCAAGCATTGGTGCCCTCTGCCCCCACCTCTATGGTACCACTCATAGCATTGTCGTGTAATGATTTATTTTTATAAAAATCTGTTCTGCTAGATAGCGAGCGAGTTCTCATCACCCACGTGGGGGTGTGCATGTCATCAATTACAACATGGCGTCCCTTGGACAGAAGAATGCCTCTTTATTCTTCATGTTGCGCCAGGCCATAGGTTGATATGTATAGAGCATTTTTAGAGCTCATTTTATGTCCTGTGTATGATAGAGTAACATCAAATGTATTTTGTGAACCCAGTTCTTTAATTCTTAGATTTTTTTTCAAAAACAGTTTTATTGAGAGAGAACTCTTATACCATAAAATTCATTTATTTTAATTGTGCAATTGAATGGTTTTTAGTAAACTTAGAGTTGTGCAATCATCTCTACAATCCAACTGTAGAACAATTATATTACCCCAAGAAGATCCCAACTGAGATATGTTTAAATATTGATGGAACTGTCCAGAAACTTCTGCGTGCAGAGTTAAGCTGGATGACCTCAAAATGTGCCATTATTTTTGACTCTAAACTGTGTAGGGTACAACATGCTCAAAGGAAGCCTGCATACTTAACGGGTGCTGTAACCTAAAGGAATAGTGCATGCTGGCAGTAATGGACACTGGTTCCCTTTCAGGGACCTGCTCTGTGATGTGCCCTGTGTTAGGGTCTTTATGTACATGACCTTATTTGAGATTAAGAATATGATAACCTGTAATATAGATTCCTTCTACCTTTAATGCATAAGGACTCTGCAGGGGAGGATAAGGAACTAACTCAAGGTCGCACTGCTGTAAGTGGAAGGGCCGGGATTAGAACTTTGGCCTGACTACATACCACACTTGCCTTAAGCATTCAGTAGCTATATATTGAGCTATTCCTATGCTCCTATAAAAAGACAAATCTTAGGAAACTTGTAAGAGTTACTATTTAATTTGAAGAGTTATGATCTAATCTGAAAAGAAGAGAGATGACTGTATTTAAAGGATAAACTCTGAAATCAACTTTTTCTTTGATTTGGTTCCATATAGTTTACTTTGAGGCCCAGTGGGCACATTCTGAATTGGGCCGAGGGAACCTAAAAAAGAGAGGAAACAGAATTGTATTTTAAAAACTGTAAAATACTAAGGCCATTTGGGCTGTCAGCATAATTTCTGATTGAGTTTGCTTTGGGGATTGAGTATTAAAATATTAATACTGGTTGGTCTTTAGTAATGTAAATGGTGAATTATGTTAGAATATTGATTTGGTTGCCGTTACAGAGATCTAGGAATGGCTTAAAATAGAAATTTATTTCTCAGATTAAAAGCTGTGTAAGTAATCAAGGTTTAGCATAGTAGCTTTGTAATCATTGGGGATCCTGCCTCTTTTTATCTCATTGCCCTGGCTGAGCATGTGGCTTTCTTCTTGGCTGTTGTACCTCCTTCCATCACATCTACATTCTAGCCTTAAAGAGGAGGAATAGGTGAAGGGGAGGACGTACATATTTTTCTTCTTTAGGGCCATGATCAAGAAGTTGTATATTTAACTTATGTTCATATCTGTTAGACAGAACGCAGTCATAGGACCACATGATGAGAGAGGAAGTAGAAAATGTGGTTTTATGGGGTGCAGTGAGGGTGGGAAAGAGGCCATATATCCAACTGAAAATTCAATTATTATGTATTATGGAAAGAGAATGTTGGAAGACAATTGGCAATCTCTGCCCCATTGTTCTCTGAAGATGAGATTAATATGAAACTGTAGGTTTGCATGTAAAAAGGAGGGAGATACAGAATGCTTTACACTATCCTCCTTTGACTATTTTGAAGTTGGCAGTGTGTCCATCTCTCTTATGACACAGTATCAGTTTGAACTCATGTTTTTACTAGAAAAGTGTATGCAACAGTTTCAAGGTTGGTAACTGGGTTCAGAGAGCTGCATAGCAGATTTTACCTGGGTAAAGTCTGAAGATGCATCTTCTTTAACATGTTTCTAGCTAGATGCATTTTCTTTAAAATATTTCTATTGTATATGTATATACCACATCTTCTTTATCCATTCATGTTGATGGATACTTAGGTTGTTTCCACATCTTGGCTGTTGTAAGTAACGCTGCAATGAACATAGGAATGTACGTATCTTTTTGAATTAGTGTTTTCATGGTCTTTGGATAAATACCCAGAAGAGGACTTGCTTGATCATATGGTAACTCTGTTCTTAATTTTTTGAGGAGCCTTCATACTGTTTTCCATAGTTGCTGCACCCATTCATAGTCCCATCAACAGTGGAGGATGTCTCCCTTTTTCTCCACATCCTCGCCAACACTTGTTATTTCTTGTCTATTTTATAATAATGACTCTAAAAGATGAAATATTACTGTTTGCCACAACATGAATGACTCTTGAGGTTATTATGCTAAGTGAAGTCAGACGGAAAAGGACAAAAGCTATATGATTTCATCCATATGTAGAGTATAAAACAAAAAGGAAACAAACGAACAAAAACAAAAACAAACTCAGAGATACAGACAACAATTGGTGGTTACCGAAAGAGGAGAGGGGGGAGGGGGAGGGCAGAATGGGTCAAGGGGGTCAGATATATTGTGACAGATGGAAATTAGGCTTTTGGTACTAAGTGAGCTACAGTGTATACAGATATCATATTATAATGGTTTGCACCTGAAACATAAAACATAATATTATTAACTAATGTTACCTCAATTAAAAAAAAAAAAAGAAAAGAAATACAGCCTGTTGATGGGGAGCGACATTTCTAGGAAAAATAAATTCTCTTCTTCTCAGAATAATATTTTAATTAAATCAAGATAGAAAGCTTGAAATTCCTATAGTTAGCATGCAGGCAAACTTTTCTGTAGCAAAACACCATTTGTTTCTTAGAGAACTGATGATATCCGGTAGTCAAGAATTCATGTTTTAATTTAACCTCGGTACTTTCTGGTGTGGCCTTGACTAAGCCAGTGGATAGTGTAACTTTTCCTAGTTAATTATGTCTTAAAACAGAGTTTACAAACAGTCCCCGTCATCATCTCATATGTATGTAGCCAACAATTGTGAGGTCCTTTAATAATGCATGTTGTTTTTTCGTGATGGGTTACTTGAGATCACAGATTAGCCTTAACTTACGCTAAGGATGAGTTTCATTCTCAACTGGCTAGAACAGCAAGAGAAGTGAATGTGAAGATATTCTTAATATTTGCCAACATGCCGCTTTATAGCATCTTCTAAAGGCTTTTGTGATAGAAGGTCATTGGAGCTCTTGAGACTAGAAAGGTTAGGTAATCTTGTGGGCATGGTATTTCTTGTGGTAGCCTATGTACTTCCCTGAGAATGCGTATTGGGATACTTAGATTTCACTGTAAATCCTTAATTATTTGAAGATCCTTGTGCCGGTATTACATATCAGGCAAGAGTAATTTTAGCCAAGTTGACTGAAAGTATTCCCAGTGTTCTCTCTAGCCATTTCATCTGCTTCCTTTTCTTGGCACGGACAAACTATATAGACTGTATAAAATAAACTGCTGACTGTGGAGGTGGTAAGTGGTTTTGTGATTCCCATCTTGTTTGTATGGGTGGGTTCCCTTCACTTTTTATCTCTTGAGCCCTCAGCCGTCACAAATGTTTTGTTTTTCTCTTACAGATGACAAGATTGGTGCTGCCCGGCATGGTAGAAAGGTGAGTCACGAGCTCACCCACAAACACTGGAGAGACAGAGCTCATGATTATTTATAGGGAGAACCCTTTCTCTATGAAATTCACTGAAGTGACTAATGAACCTGTCCTCCACGTCTTAGTGACAGAGTAATGTGCCCGGTGAGTCACAGGGTGAAGCGTGAGTCATCTGGTGGTGGAGGCTTTTTCCACCCGATTCCCTTTTTAGTTCCCTCTCCAGAGTTGTGGTGGTTCCTTTAGATCTGGATAAAAAGTCTGCCTGAGTCACCATCACTAACTCAATTGCCTGCCATTCCGAGGGGGCGGATGGAGTTCCTGGGATATCCCCGGGAATACCTTCTTAAAGCTGTATGCTCTCCAAGCCCAAGTCAGGGAAGTTTCATGACCAAAGGCCCCATCCTCTGGTTTTCCAGTTCTTACTGGGAGCATGGATATGTGAGGAAATTGGGGCTTAGAGAGTGATTGTAAGATGTCAAACCCACCTTTGGAGGAAAAGACTACGTCCACTGGCCTCATTGTTCCACATGATTTTGGGTTCCACTAGGACATGCTGGATGTCTTCCATTTTTATTGAGAAACGTGTTGTTGAGTTCTTACAGTTGAGCTAGCGTGAAGTGTAAAATTGTGATTAAACTCTGTTCTTCCCTTGGAAAAGCCTGAATGGTGGCTAGACCTTCACAGAAAACCTGTTCGAAAGAGCTGGGCTTGCATCTTGAGCTAGCTTGGTCATTTGCTAAATTTAGGGCTTCACGGTCATCCATCCTCTGCAAAATAGCTTTGAGTTTGGAAGACACCCAACGGAATCACAGCTCTGAAAAGGGAAAACCCAGGACCCTACTTCTGTGATGAAAGCTCTGTGGCCAGTCTCAGGGAAGGGTTGCAGCTAATGTTTGTCAGTACATATTATGTACCAGGTATTATACCAGGAAGGCGATATGTGTTAACTCATTGAACTTTGATAGCCTCCCATCATTGTGCAGATGAGGAAATTGAGTTAGGAATCTATTTTGTTTGGCCTCTACAGGGACTGGTTGAGAAACTGCTTCTTTGCAAAGCTCTTTGCTTGTAATTTCATTTTATATGTAGTTTTGTGTATTTTAATAGCTTGATTTTAGTACAAATTTACCTTTGAAATCTTCAGACTGATGTTGTCGGTTGACCATGGGAGTGCGACCCCCTGATGGTCAGACATGGAAGTAGCGGTGGTCAAATCAGACCAGAACCCTCGAAAACTGCTGAGAATTAGGGCAGACAGAATAGAGTTCAGGAGGGATGAAATTTGAACCATTGTCTTAATCCTGCTTTGACAGCTACAGTGACAGTATTATAGTTCAGAATAGGAAGTCCATCCATTAAAAAAGAAATACTTAAAAATCACAGAGATATTGTAAAAGGAATTTTTAAGTGTGTTGGTAAAAAAACTAAATCAAAAGAGAGTAGTTGTGGCATCTTTTGTAGATCACAAAGGATTGGATTCAGAGTCATAGAATTTCAGTACTTTAAATGAGGGTTATGAAGCTACATATTTAGTAAATGCTCTAGGTACTAGGAACTTCACTCCTATCTCTGTAGACCTTGTAGTCATGATCACAGTTGTAGTTGGAGCATTAGATAAAAACAAAGAATGCAAAGAAAAGGACCCAGCCACTTAACACGCATTCACTGACTAAATTTTATCATGGCATTCACAGAAGAGGCATTGGATCCTTGCCTTGAAGAACTCAAGTTGATTTTAAACTGAGGTTGAGAAATGATCTGGCAAAAAGCCATCATAGGCGGGACTGAAACTGGCATCATGGGGGTGATTGTGGCACTGGTTAAGAACTAATAAGAAACGGAAGCGGATTTTATGAGTCGGTTCTTTTGATTCGGAGAAGCAGCAGCTATATTCACTTTGAATTAAAGGAGCTTCTAGTGGTGTTAGTCAAGTAGAGCTAACTGCTCTAACAGACCCCTCCCAGAGCTCAGCGGCTGGAACAGTTGCTTTTCCCTTTGCATCACAGCTGATGAGTCAGTGGTCAGGGCTCTGCTCTACGCAGTATTTCAGGGTCTCAGGCTCCTTCCATCTAGGGCCTTCATTCAGGGCCTCTGTTCATCTTCCCTCGGGCCTTGCAGTTCTCTGCTGAGTCCTCTGGATGCAGGGAGCAGATGAAGTGAGAGAATAAGGGTGATTTTACGGGAGTATTCCTGGGCCAGGCCCAGAAGTGATGTAGATCACTTCTGCCTGTGGTCCATGGCCCAGCACTCAGGCAGAGGCTACAGCTAACTGCACGGGAGGCCAGAACTGTTAATTGTGTGCCTAAGAGGAAAGAAAAACTCCAATTTAATGGATTGTCCGGTAAGCCTCATATATTATAAGTGATTATATTATAGCCTGCCCCTTTTCACTGTCCCCAAATTGTGTATTTCCTATGCTTCATTTCCCACAGGATTCGTGTCTCCACGTAGTAAGAGTCCTACATAAAGATCCTTGGCTGTTGTTTTTTTTCTCCCTTTCACGATTCTATCTCTGATGTATGAGATTTTCCAAATCCTTTAGAACTATAGCCGAGGGCCAACTGACCATCACTAAACAAGTATCTGCAATCAAACTAAGGTATTATTACCATAGAGGTAGAAAGTGCATAATTACATTTTAGAGGAAACTTGCTCTTTCCACTTCCCTGGAATTATAAACATTGTGTACAGCTGGAGCCAGGAGGTGGTTGCCATAACAACCATGGAAAAGCTAAAAATAGCTCTTTCATACTGTATTGCTTAAGGTGGAATTATGACATGTTACGGTGTTTTAGGGCAGGCAATTCTCTTTCATGTGGCAAATGTTTGCAAACTTTCTTCAACAAAGCAATATTTGTATAATGTACTTGGATTGCTGGTTCTAATTATCTACCTGACCATAGAACTGTTTTGATATGTTTCTCAGTGTTCTTGAGAATCTGTTGGAGAACTGTCTGTACCATTTTCAGTATTATGTTTAAGCTTAAAAATAAAAGCAGTGACCCTCCAAGAGCATACTTTTGCTCTCCCTGCTCAGGAATGAAAACATGAAGAGTTGTGACAGTCTTATTTATACAGTCTCCCTTGACTGGCATCAAGCTATTTGCAGTTAGCCGCCCACGTTAGGGTTGACCCTGTGTTCCGTTTCTTCACAGCAGAATGTACGTCTGCCCGCCTCTCTCTCCTCACCTGCAGTGTGAGGCAGGGGTGAGGAAGGCAGAAATCAGTGTCTGACTTCAAAGGAGACCTCTCACTTCCTCTATGACAATGATTCTTCTAGAGCGTGGACGAGGTTACTACGACAGTCCGACAGAATAGTGGGGCATGCATAGAAGAAGAAAGGCTTGGCATTATGTTGTTTTATCCACGTGACGATGAAGGAGAGTGTCATGAATGGGAATTTCACAGGTCTGAGGGAATGCTAACCTTAGGAAGCTATAAAGGCACAATATCGAGTTTCACAGGGTTGTGTGAGTGGAGCATTTCACGAGTGAAAAGGGCTAGTGATTGAAGGGAGCATGCTCATGTGAAAAGCTGCTTCCTTAGCAGCAGTGGTGCTCTCTGCTTTGTTTATGCAGTATTTTAGTTCTGGTAGAGTCTCAGTGATGTGCACCACTGAGACACCATCATGTGGCTTTTAGCAAGTAAGAAGCATGATGAATTAAGAATGTTGTATCACACAAAATATCACTTGACTCGTTTATTTGGATTATTTGTCATAACAAACTGGAAATGTGCTGAAGCAATGTGAGTCTTCATTATGGAACTTCAGCAATTATTCTTAATGTATCTTCCAATCTTAGAATTGTTCCCCAAGTCCCCGGAAAATGAGAGATTAACCAGGGTTTGGTTTTATTTTTGTTTCTGTGTGCAATTAAGCGCAGCCCATTTTGTCCTTCTGCTTGATATAACAGAGTTGTCATGAGTCTGGCTGTGCCATGGAAACTGGTTTGACGTCACTAACTCTGCTGAGATAGAGGATTAGAGCTTAACAAAGTAGTTGGTTTTAAAGACGAGTCCTTTGGGCTTCACGCTCTGAAATGTTTGTCCCCGTCTCTGCATAAAGAATAGATCCTGTATACAGTACCAGGATTAAGGCAGCTATACCAGTGTGTTATTTATGATTCAGACAAAACTAAGGTGAATGTGATTATCCTTGGAGAGGAAGAGAGGAGAATTCTCTGCTGTCTTGTGTGTGGGTGTGGGAGGAAGGCTTTTGCTAGACAAGTGCAAATACGTGTGCTTCTTGGTAGCACAGGGTTTTCATAGAAGGGGTGTTTTCTCTGCTGCCATTTCAGTACAGTTAGAAATGCCTGCCTTTTATTTACTTAGGCCTAGTGCATTCTCGCTTTATACTTTGTTGGTGTTAGGCTTGTTTTCATCTATTGTAGAGTGCAAATATTTTGAAGAATATCTTGAATATTTTGAAATTGTTTTGAAGAAAATACCCTCAAATACTGACTTACCACTAATTCAAACTACCTCCTAGGAATTTTAATTAGGGTAGAATATTTGAGACACAAAAATCCCAGTGGACTCAAAGAGTAAACAATTAAAGAAGCATAACTGCATAATTATGACATATTTGATTATTGGTCTGTTATATTTGAAACCAGGAAAGAAGTTTTGTCATCTCTAAGTGGATTTTCCTGTATGGAAATCATTGCTTTGGTGAATGAAGCTCTAAGAGTCTATTTTGGTGAGAACTAATTGATCTTGTAGCTTCTACTTCATTGGGACTAGCTCTGAGCATAAAGGTGGCACATTCCAGTATATCATAAATATATGTTTTTCTCACTGCCTTTTGCAGATTTGTTGTGATATATTTCACATACCATGAAATCCACTCATTCATAAAGTACATAGTTTGGTGGGTTGTAGCCAGCACCACAATCTGATTTTGTGATATTTGCAACACCCTAAATAGATAAAGATATTTTAAACATCATAAATTAATGCTATATTAAGCATCTCCGGTAGTTTCATTCACTTTGATTAAAGGAATTTTTCACAAATATGAAATTACTAGATAGTCATTGCTAAAATTGATCAGGTTCTAACCCCTGAGAGAGACTCTTACACTCTTACCTTAAAAGTTTAAAAAGGAAGGCTTTTCTATCTCCATAAGAAACACAGGCAAAAAAATACAAAAATGAAAATATAGTCAGTAATATTTTAATAACTATGTATGGTGCCAGTTAGCTACGGGAAATATCAGAGGGACCATTTGTAAAGTATGTGATTGTCTCACCACTATGCTGTATACCTGAAACTAATACAAAATAATGTTGAATTTTAAAAAGTACAAAAATGATGTAATTCATATACTGACTAAATTCCAACTTTCTTCAAAACCCTAATATAACATTTTTTAATTTGAGAAGTTGATTTCTGTGACCAAAATGTTAATGGATTTCACTGTTTAAGAAAGTGTGTATTACAAATAAGGACTTCACTTAAAAAACAAAAAACAACTTGTTTCCTGTGACACATGAGACTGAGGCTCCAGACTTCCATTTGATGGTTGAGGTGGCATCTCGCCTGGAGGCTGGCAGATGGACTGGGTGACCTTTGGGGATTCTTTCTTTTCAGATCTATGTCTAGAATAACTTAGATGCCATTTAATCATGTTTCTCTTACTATTTTGCATAGAAGGGTTTATATAGTCCCCGTTTTCAATATTGAAAAAATAGGCTTTGGGGGAAGTAGATTCAGACAGAAAATAATGAGAAAGTGGGTTAAGAAAGGGAGCCTACCCTGGCTGGTGTGGCTCAGTGGATTGAGTGCCGACCTGCGAACCAAAGGGTCACCGGTTTGATTCCCAGTCAGGGCACATGCTTGGGTTGTGGGCCAGGTCCCCAGTAGGGGGCGCGTGAAAGGCAACCACACACTAATGTTTCTCCCTCCTTTTCTCCCTCCCTTCCCCCCGCTAAAAATAAATAAAATCTTTAAAAAGAAAGAGTGAGAGCCTGATATGGAGGACAGGAGCTGGTGAGGGCAGGCTGCTTTAGCGGATGGAGCGGACCAACCCCTATGAGAAGAATGGATTCGAGGGGGAAGTGCTGGTTGTTGATTCTAAAATTCCTAAAACCCTAATTCCACACTCTGCGTAACCCACATGCATGCTAACAACTTGTATGTCTACAGCATTGCTTCCCTCAAACTAATTTTAATTTATGGATTGCATTAGTAACTCCTGATAACTTCCTGACTTTTAACTTTCGATGGTCTCTAAAAGTTACAGTAGAAACTTGTGAGCTTTGTCTCTTGGCTAAAGAATATGGTTTGATGAGCTATAGCATTGCACGTTAGAGTCAACTCTCCATTTAACACCTGAATATCTACAACCCAAGGAAGGTAGGAGGGCAGGACCTAACCTTCACTCATTTCCAGAAGGTTTTATTAAGTCCTGGTTACATGCTCAGGACTGTGCTCAGTGTTTTGAGGAGAAGTGAGGACAAAGGCCACCATGTCCAGAAGCATATGGTTTTGTCATGGGGGAAATGCATATGCACATAAAATGATTAAATAGTACAGCAAGGTATGAATGTGATGGTATGCCAAAATGAAAGCTGGCAAGGAGTGTAAGAGTGTTTCTAAAAGTGAGCATTCTTGGTGCTGTGGCCAGAGAAGACCTCACAGGGTGGATATCAACTCGAGGAGACTGTAGATCTGATCTGGCCATGCCCGAGAGTACTAAGACTGAGAAATGAGCTAACTGCAGGCAAGAGCTATTTTTAGTTGATTGAGTTATGCCTCATTCACTGACCAAGCACATCACATGCTGATGAAAGGCAAGGAAAGATGTGTGTTTGAAAAACAGCTGGTCATTCTGTTTCAAATCTGTATCTCCATTTGTAATTTACAAACAGTTGTGTATATAATTTCATTCTGTTTATGGTGCATTTTCCTTTTTAGATCTAAAGGGGTGATTCTGAACCTCTCCTCTGTGAGTGGCATGCGTCCGGTTCCACTGATAACCATCTACTCTGCATCCAAGGTGAACAATTTTTTAGTATAAGAATTAATTTTGAATGTCAGTAACAAGCCTAGAACTTTCTTTGTGTTCTTAGCAGTTTTCAAATGGAATGAGAAGAAAAGGAAAATACCCTACACTAGTTTCATGGGAGTCAGAGCGAGTGAGAACTGATTGGTATAAACTTTATAAATGGGACTTCAAGATCGCAGACCCACAGATGGTTGTTTTTTTCCTCTCCCACTAGTTTACTGGTGTTTAAATTGATATTCGAACTTCCCAGAGAAAGCAGGCTCAATTGATCGGAACATCAAGTTAATGAAGTTAAGATCGGGGATTTAGTTCATTGACATTACCTTCATATAGCATCAGCTCAAGCAAACAGAGCTAGCTGAGTAGAAGGATTGCAGCCAGTCAGCACTTACATACACATAGTAGGCACAGGATAGACTGGGTGAGAGGGTGAGTGTTTTGCCACATTATTGAGAATTCACAGACAGTCACTGTCATTTCTAGAGTGAGACAAGAATTTTCCAGAACTCTCTGTGAGATGTAATTTTATATATCACCATTCACCTCTCATATTACTACTAGAAAAATAATTTAGAATGCATTTCCTACTGCCTGCAGGTCAATAGCATCATCTGCATATACATTGTTGAGGCACAGGATTCATCTCTGAAATGGAAATGACCACTGAGGTGCTGAAATTAAATAAGCTTTTAGGGGAAAATGAGCAAAATATAATACATAATAAGAATGTGCAATAGGTCAGGGAAAGAAAAGAGCAAAATGCCTGCCTTCTTTTTCACCTGTTTTTTGTCCACTGGAAAAATGTAAACAGTGACCACTGTCTTTTGGAAAAGCTTAGCACCGCCCCCTACCCCTGCAATCTGCTTACTTTCTCTAGCTCTGAAACATGCAGTGGGCAGGTTTACAATGAACACTGGGCTTCTTGAAGTGGTCGGTGAACACCAACTGTTTACCTGTTCTGCTCCATGGACACAGAGTAATTACTGGGACCCTAGCAGAGTCATTATTGATACTTTTCATTTCAAGACTGAGGTTAAGTCCACATTTGAAAATGGTACATTATATTTCACAAATAGATTTAAAGTTGTGCTCTCAGAAGAAGATGGGCTGTCTGGTTCACCTCTATACTTTTTGGATCCCTTAGGACTAAGAGGATACCTGCTCTTTTCTTCTCTTTATTGACAACAAAATTTTCATAGAACAGAGTTGAACAGAATTTATATTGTGTTTCTGTTTGAATGGCAAGTAGGGAGGAGAAATGCACCCTTTGTTGTATAATCAGACATTTCTTCGTAGAGAGTAATTTTCTGAAAAAAAGAAAAGAAGGGCCTTTTTCAGTTAAATCAAAATTTGATCTGGATATTATATTTGGTAAGAGAATACCTAATTTAGCAGCAGATAAAAATGACTTAAGGGCTTGAGGTATTTTTTGAAGGTCCCTTCTGCATTTGAAATTAAAAAAATGATTAGAAGCTACAGTGTTAAATGGTTAGTTTGTTGTTTTTTGTTTCCATGGCTACAAATCAGACAGATTGATGTGATTGTGTGTGTGTGTGTGTGTGTGTGTTTTCTTCTCACTCCCACCCCCTCCCAGGCTTTTGTCGACTTCTTCTCTCAGTGCATCCATGAGGAATATAAGAGTAAGGGCATCTTCGTGCAGGTGAGTAGAGTTTGTTTCAGTAAAGTATTCCTGTTTTTGTGTGGTTTCCACAGCAACTGTTGCCATCTTGGTAACAAAAGAAAATCACATTCCTAAGTAAGTGACTGTGACGTTAGCACGCCATTATGGTTTCTTTTTTCTTTATGCACTTTAAGTCTGCATTTTTAAAAATTCTTCCTTAGAATTTTTAAGTCAGGATACCTAGAGTAGAACTGAATGTAGTGTAAACAGTTGAAGCATAATTATTGAAAGTTCTTAGGCTTTATTTTGAGAGCATTAGACTCTTAATATCCGTTAGCTGCCAGGTGTGTGAGGTGGGCCGTGACTGTTCCAAAGCCACTGTGTGATAACCACTAGAGCGGAGAGAGAGCAAGGATGACAGCAAACACCAGGATGACACAGAGAAGGTAGTGATTTTTAATAGTTTAAAAAGTACGGTAAAATATATAATATGCACATAACAGAAAACACCATTTAAACATCCCTAAGTGCTCAGTTCAGTGCTGTTAAGCACGTCCGTATTGTTGTGCACCCATCACCACCATCCATCTCCAGGATTTTTTCCTAGAGTGTAAATTTTTTTTAAAAACTTCATTTGTTTTATTTTTAGAGAGAGGGGAAGGGAGGGGTAAAGAGAGGGAGAGAAACATCAATGTGTGGCTGCCTCTCTCATGCACCCCCCACTGGGGACCTGACCCACACCCCAGGCATGCACCCGGGCTGGGAACAAACGGTGACCCTTTGGTTCGAAGGCTGGCACCCAATCCACTGAGCCACACCAGCCAGGTTTCCAGAATTTTTTTCATCTTCCAAAACTGAAACTGTGTGCCCATTAAACAGTAGCTCCCCGTTCCCTCCTCCCCTGGCCCCTGGCAGCCACCATTCTACTTTCTGTCTCTCTGAATTTGACTGCTCGGGGTACTTCATGTGAGTGGAATCATACAGATTTATCCTTTTGTGACTGACTTTTTTCACTTAGCATAATGTCTTCCAGGTCCATCTGTGCTGTAGCACGTGTCAGAATTTCCTCCCTTTTTAAAGGCCGAGTCATATTTCTTGTTCGGGTATGCCACATTGTGCTTATCCATTCCCCCGTCGGTAGACCTTTGGGTTGCTTCCATCTCTTGGCCGCTGTGAGTAATGCTGCTCTGAACTTGGGTGTACACCTATTTTTTCAAAACCTTGCTTTCAGTTCTTTCATATATGTACCTAGAAGTGGAACTGCTGGATCATATGGTCATTTTACTTTTGGGGGAAAAAAGGGAATTGCCTTATTGTTTTCCATAGTAGTTGCCCTGTTTTACATTCCCACCAGTAGTGCACAGGTATTCTAATACTTGTTCACATCCTCACCAATACTTAGTTCCCGTTTGTTCTTTTTTAATTTTTAAATAATAGCCATCCTAATGAGTATGAAGCAATAGCTCATTGTGAATTTGATTTGCATTTCCCTAATGATGAGTGATGCTGAGCACTTTTTCAAGTGCTTATTGACCATTTGTGTATCTCTTTAGAGAGATGTCAATTCAAGTCCTTTGCACATTTTTAAATTGGGTTGTTTGCTGTTTATTGTTGAATTGTAGGAATTGATACATAGTTTGCAAATATTTTCACCCACTCTGTGGGTTGCCTTTTCAGTTTATGGATAGTGTCCTTTGACTTAACAACAGTTTTTCATTTTGATGTGGTCCGATTCATTTATTTTTTATTTTATTGCTTATGCTTTTGGTGTCACAGCCAACAAATACTGCCACTGCTAGTGTCAGGATCATGAAACTTAACACCTTTGGTTTGTTTGGGGGTTTTTTAAAGATTTTATTTATTTATTTTTAGAGAGCGGAAGGGAGGGAGAAAGGGAGAGAAACATCAATGTGTGGTTGCCAATCATGTGCCCCCTACTGGGGACCTGGCCCACAACCCAGGCGTGTGTTCTAGACTGGGAGTCGAATCAGCAACCCTTTGTAGTTTTAAGTTTTACATTAGGCCTTTGGTCCATTTTTGACTTAATTTTTATAGAGAGCTTTGATTTTATTATGTAGCAAACAGATAAAATGCGGTTGCAAATATAATACAAAATATAAAAGGACACAAATTTAGGAGTTTTAAGGTGTCTATCTCAAATCAGCTATTGTTCAGAAATAATGGCTCTCAGCATTTTCATGCTTAGGCACATTTTTAGCAGTGTCTTGGGAGCAGTTGACTTTCGTATGCTTTTTCTGCTCCTGCCCATGACTTGCCCCACCTCTTCATGCACCCAGTCTTCATTATGGCTTTTCTTACTGTGGGTCTAGCGTTTTGCTTTTTGTACCCTGAACCCCCAAATGATCAACCATTGTAATAGCAGCTATTATTTGAGGGGATACTTTTCAGGCACAGTGCTAAGCATTTCATATTCATCCATTTATTTCATTGCATCTCATAATAATCTAAGACAGTGTGATCGTCATCGTCTTTAAATTCATGGAAATGAGGGTTTAGAGAGGTTAAGCCACTTGGCCATGTTGAATCACAACTCAAGTCTGAGTCTATTTGGCACCAGAGCCTTTGTTCTGAACCACGGTGCTACTGCTCCAGGCCTTTGGGACAGCACCGGCACCTATTGGGTTCCCCTGTGCTCAGGCAGTTACGGAACCAGGAGGAGTTCGCCTGCTTAGCTCCATTTCTTCCCTTATATCTTTAGACATTCAAGAGGGGCCTAAGCGTTACCTAAATGGAGCTTGTAAACCTTTTCATTTTATGAGTCGGTACTGGTGCTAAATCACGCACAGTGAGAGGGCTGATAGATAAAGAGTGGGGTCAATGTTCTCTCATCTTCCAGGGTCAGCTTAGAGCTTGTTTCCTCTAAACCCCCACCTGAAATCTTGCTCAATGGACCCTAAGATACCATAGCCTTTTGGTATTATTCTGACCTGCAACATCCCATAAATAGAGGGGAAGAACATAAATACATTGGGAAGAACAGGGTTTCGAGAATTAGGAATTTTATGCCAACTACCTTACTACCTTTTTCTCCCATCCTTGACACCAGTCATTCTAGTGTTAGTATCTTGAATCTGCTACGTATAGCGTGTTACATTTTGCTAACGTGGGAACCAATAAAACATTCATTGGAGGTAAAACATCAAGGCCACACAATGTTGTGCTATTTTCCCATCCTGATAAAATTATAATCAAGCTATTAATGTAATAATTTTTAAATACCTTCTGCAACTAGGCAGAAATGCTAAAGGTTCATTGGCAGTGTGACAAGAACTATAAGCGTTTTGATGACAAAAGGGAATATTAGACTTTGTGGGCACAGATAAGTGATTTCTAAAATTCTGTGAATATACAAAACTATCTCTTCCCTCTTTCTGACACCTTGTTTCCCTCAAAGATCTTTTCTCCTCATTTGCTGCCTATTAATTTGATGTGACTAGAAGCTGCTACAAAAACACATTAGCATTTGTTTTCCAAAATATGGTACTCTGATTATTTTTATTTTTCCCCAATAATGTTATGAATTATATAATTTCATTGATCATTGTCTTCCTTCATATGAAGTCATTCAAGGTTTAAACTTAAAATGAATTTGGTGAATATAAAAATTAAAATGTTTGTTAGGGAAAGTACGGTTGACATTTTATGTAGACATATCGGAATGCTGAAGTCTCATGTCAGTTCTGACCAGAGGGGCAAAAATAGCTGGTCTATATAGATAAGGCTCAGAGTTCAAAATGATTGGTTTTCTTTGGCAGTATTTTATGTCTACACATTTTTTGGACTAGGAGCCTTTACCAGCCCATTACCCTGTCCACTGCACCCCATGTGCTGTTTCCTGGGTGATCTTGTTAAAATACAACCCAGATAATGCTGCTCTCCTTCGTAGCCTCCCAGTGGCTACCCAGCATGTTTGGGATTGAATTGAAACTCCACAAGCCACGGCCTCTCTCACCACTCCATCGTCCCGGCCTGTGTTCGGCCAGAGTGGGCACTGTGGCGTCCGTTGCACGGCCTGCACTCTCTTGTGCCAGTGGCTGGCTCCTCTGCCGGCATACCCTCTCTCCAGCTCCCACCCCCATCCCCGCTGCCCGTTCACACCTAAACCTGTCACCCCCTCCACCTTTCCAGGCCCAGGCCGCACTTCACCTGCTCAGGGAAATCTTATCTCACCACCTGGCACCTGTGGTTACGCCTCTCCTCCTGCTTTCATATTTCTTATTGAGCACCCCTGCCTGATACTCTCTGGCCCTTCCCTCCCTTCCCCCTCTCCTACTTCAGTGTAGTCATTAGAACTGCGCTTTTTATCTTGTCTCCGTGTACCAACACGTGATGATTTGGGGCTCAGTAGAGACCTGCCTTTTGCCTGTTATCTCTGGAGGACTCTGAGTATGTGTGGCCATGCTTTGCAGGACACAGACTTCCGTTTTGAAGGCCCTGTGGGCTTCTTCTGCTGCTTCCATATGCCTCTGGTCTTGACTTTTCATCCTCTAGATCTAGAGGGCTTCCAGGCTAATGCTCTGTTGCCGAATTTCAGTTTGTTTGAATCTTTGGAAGGGAAGCTACTTTTTTTAGGTCTGCCTCCATGTATATCAGATTGCTCTTTTGGGAGAGTAAGAGAGTATGTTTTCAAGTTCTAGGCAGTTTTATTTTTAACTCCTTATTAATATTTTTCCTTTTCTTTTCCCTCAACTTCCTTCCTATGGTTTTGTAAGAGCATTTGAAATTTTCTTGATGCATTCAGATTTGCCATTACACAAGCATTTTTCCGGAAATGCAAGTAAACAGTCATGACAACAAGTGATATAAAGGCTGTGGAGGTGACTTTTGGGCCTGACTTTTGAACAGAGGATTAAGAAGTGCCTTGTGGTAAACCTTATCAAAAGTATGCTCTGTTGGTAAGAACTCTCTGTTCTCATTATTAAGCACAGTCAAAATGAGGCTTCGCTCTTTGCACGAACACAGTCAGAAGTAGTCTGACTGGCTAGTTGGTGAGCCCCAGTGCTGGGCCCTTTCTCTGTGTCCTGGACTGACTAGTTGTTAATGCTGAGCATGTAAGAAATAGCTAACACTAAGATGACGTCCTAAAACTTCACTTCTTGAACTCATTCTCTGCAACTTTCACAAGACTTCTTGTCTTTTAAAACCTTTTTATTTAGAAATAATTTGAAATCTACCAAAAAAATGCAGGAATAAGAACAGTACTAAGAATACTCTAATGCCTCCTACTCAGATTCAGTCATTGTGAACATTTTATTCCACTTATTTTGTCATTGGTAAGTGAGTTGCCTACATCATGGTTCTTTACCTCTAAATACTTCAGTGTGTATTTCTAAGGAATAGGGAGATTCTCTTATATAACCACAATGCAGTTACCACCTTTAGAGTTAATACTGACATAATATTTTCATCTCATTTGCCCTTTATACTCCAATTTGTAATCCCTGTAATATTTTTTATTGCATCCTTTATCTTGCAGTAAAGAAGTCAGTCTAGGACCAGGTATTATATAGTTTTCCTGCCTCTTCAGTTTCCTTTAATCTGGGATATATCCTCAGCCTTTGTCTTTTAGGACATTGATATTTTTGAAGAGTATAGTACTCCTTCCTGCTCCTTTTAATTGAACAAATCCTGAAATGGAAAATGAATATACAGATTTAAGGACGAAAAGCCTTCCTCAGCTGCCTCATAAAAGCTGCAGCCTCTGCCTTAAGAATGTGTGCATTTAATGCTCATAAAAGGCAGGGAAACACCAGGTCTGGAATTCCATCCTGTGCAAATAGATGAGCCTGGTGTCCTCCAGATCCATGTTTTCCAAAGCAGGGTTGTGAATAGTTCTGGCCATTTTTATATGCATGAAGGCAGGTTTAGTACGTGGATGGCTGCATGGAAGATGCTCTGCCATGTGAAGTTTCACAGTCACAAGGTTTGGTGTTCGATTCTTGAATGCCCACCGTGCAGCACTGGGCCTCCATCTCTCCACTGCTCCGTGGCATCAGTTGCAGCGGCCTCTGTTCTGCATCAAGGTCCCCTGAATTGTTCTGTGAAGACCAGACACCTACACAGGCTAGTCCAATGGGTGAGAAAAAAAGATACCAAGTTGTCCCCAGGGATTTTTTAAAAATAGGCTGAGCACAGCAAAACATCAGCTCTCCTTTGTGGCTTAGTTAATTATTATTATTTTGGGATTATAAATTTGAAGACCAGGACTCTTGTCCACATCTGTAGCTGTCCAGGTCCGGGTTGCTTCAAGATGGCAATACGTATAATGGCAAACTGTTGAGCATAAGCAACTTTTAAAATTTGCTCTCCCTGAAATACTTCCTATGAAAGTGTAAGTATCTCCTTCACTTGGTCGGTGTAATATTTCCCTGAGTAAGCAACAAAGATAGATTAATTGTTGCCTATTGAGTTTTTGTTAAACTGTTAAAGGATGTACATAGGTGACATTTTGACATATAAGGTTATTTACTTTTACATAATTTGAAATGTTCCTTTTTAAATTCTGGACAAGGAGCCAGACATGTAAGTCTTGCCTTCATTTAGATAGATGATCCTGCTTAAGCTCAGGGATATCTGAAATTTTGGTTTAAACTCTCACATTGCATTGTCAGCTTCCTGGTATGAATAATTTTCTGGACTTCAGCAGTGGAAAGGGACCCTAATGCTAGTCCTCACTGCTGTCCATAACGAAGTGTTCTGTTGCTAATTCATTTAGTAGCTCTTCTCTGTGCTTCTACTACATTTGAGGTACTGTTCTGAGCAGTGGTGAATAAGACCATGTCTTCATAGGGTTTACATTCTAGTAGTCAGTACTATCCAGTGGTTGAATTTAGTTTTCTGTACTGCTTAGCCTTCCTCCGGCCACTGCTTCACACATGTCTGATGTATGAACCATACTGAACTATTTACAGCTCCCTGAGAACATCATGCTTTCCTTGCTCTTGCTGTTCCCAGTTCCCAAAATGTCCCTCCCTTGTTTGTTTACCTGGCAAACTCCTCCACTTCATTGCAGGCTCAGCGCAAAAGTTATTTCATTTCTGAATCCTTTCCATCTGCTATGAGGCTGTGTTAACTGCTTTGATTTTAAACCATTGTGGAAATAAGTGAATACCCTTTCCAGAATAGAATTAATATTTCTTAGTTGGGAAAATGTGACTTGGAAGTCCTGGGTGCGCTTCTCTTGTCCCCACCTCCAGAGCCATGAGGTTCTCTCCACGGTCTGTCTGGATGGTTCGCTGAACGAGGAGTTAACTTGTGGCACCATCAAGTGGTTCAGCCAGGCAGTGCGACTCTGGTCTTCTGCCAGATCAAAATAGTCCAGCCTATACAGATGTATAGAGGGGGATTATGATGTAATTAAGTAATTGGGAGCTATGAGCCCATCTTCGTCTTTAGAAGCTCAGAACTTTTTTTAATCCTCGCCCAAGAACATGCTTACTGATTTTCAAGAGATGGGATGGGAGGAAGAAAGAGAGGGAGAGAAACATTGATATGAGAAAGAAACATTAATTGGTTGCCTCCTGTACGTGCCCCAGCTGGGGCCCGAACCCACAGCCTAGGCATGTGCCCTGACCAGGAATCAAACCTGCAAACTTTCAGTTTATGGGATGATGCCCAACCAGCTGAGCCACACTGGCCAGGGCAAGAGAAGTTCCGAACTGTACAGGTTTGTGGTCTACATATGTGAACAGTTTTTAAATCTTCACTTTTTTTTTTTTGTAATCAGGAAACCTGAAGCATAGCAATGTGACATCGTTTGCTTATGTTCCTCGTTATTTGAGACAGAGTACATGTATACATTCCATTTTGCTTTGTTTGCTCCTCAGGCTGGTGAATAAACTTCTTTTCTCACTCATTCTGAGGGTGGCGTTGAACTCTGCATTTCCTGCTATGTGATATTCTGAGATCTCTTTTTGACTTGTGCTCTCACATTGTATCCTTGCAGCAGCAGGATTTTAAAATTAAAGACCTGTTTGACAAACTACTTCTGCCCAGTGAGGGATAAGTAGATAGTGATAATTGCAGTAAACAAATTCTCCAAAACCAAAAGCTGATGTAGAATTTTGTCAAAGGTTTTTTTCTTTTCTTTTTGCATCAAATGAGGTGCAGGAAATGTTACTTTTTCTTTTATTCTGTTAATGTGGTGCATCATGTTGATTGATTTTTGTGCGTTAAATCATCCTTGTCATCCAGAGATAAATTCCAGTCATTCTTGGAAGTGGGAAAACACAATGCAAAGAAGCAAAAAACTAAAGGAGACATGGGAACACTCCTTCCAGCTCTCAGTAGGAAGGAAATCCGTAGTGTAGAACACATCTCAATTTTATGTCTACTTCTAGTACTGACATTTTAAATGTTGACCACCAATTGTTAGAACAGATCTTTAATAGAAATATCATTGTAATTGATACTGTGTCCCTTCACACATGTGAGATAAAGAGTATATTTACACTTTGGTGAGCAACCATACCCAAGTAGTTTCAAAATGTAGTAGGAATCTCTTGTATCATGACTCAGGACTTGTCATAATAGTGTTCCCTGACACTCTTCGTTGAAGCACATCCAGATGTCATACGCATAAGCAATGAAGAACCTAACACTAGGTGAGTCCGTCTAAAAGGCAGTGTTCAGATTTGCCATCCCCCTCCAGTCATGCCGAGTGTCTCGTAGTTGTTCAAGCTGCTTCTGTATTGTTACACTGTCTCCCCCACAAAGAAAAAGAGGAGAAAAGGGAGGCGGTCCTATCTTATTAATAGCAAAGTTTATAAAACTCAGAATCAGTTGTACACCTGAAATTTATATAATGTTATAAATCAGTGTTACCCCAGTAAATTTTTTAAAAACACGAACAAACTCAGAAACTAAGGAAGAAAACTGGAGGTAGGCAAAAGGCTGAGAGAGTGAAATGTTCGTTGTAGAAGGAACAAAGCTGAAAGAATAAGCTTAATTGACTATAAATTATGGGAAAATGTAGTTTCATTTCTTTAGGAGGAGGAACATGTCGAAAATCTCTTCTTTGGTGGTTCTGCAAATGTTCAAAGTAGTATCCTATCCTGAATCTCTACGCTTTAGACTTCTCTAATGCCTTCTTTTTAAAGGTTCAAAAAAGTGTATTTCTGCTTATTTTTAAACCTTTCTCTAGTCTCAAATTCTGTTTTGTTGAGAGATTGATTTATTGCAGTTTGTTTTATGCTGTCATGTGTTCTGTCAACCTGGTCTTAGATAGCCACCTCTCTTTCTCTGTCTCTCTCTCTAAAGATACAAACTTCGTAGTTCATCAGAATGTTTCTGCCACTCAGAGCAATCAGGTATTACAGTGAGTCCTGAGTTTGTGGCCTTCCTAATCAATGACATGTTTTTTCTGGGGCGGTGGGGTGTTGCCCTTTCAGAGTGTCCTGCCTTACTTTGTGGCTACAAAATTGGCTAAAATCCAAAGGGCGAGTTTGATGGTACCCTTTCCAGAGACATTTGTGAAGTCGGCGCTGAAAACAGTGGGGTTGAAATCCCGAACCAATGGATCCCTGATGCATTGTCTTGTGGTAGGTAGATTTTTAAGTTCCAAATTAGCACTTGAGTTTCATGGGCTTTTTTCCTCAATGAGTCGCAAAATAGTATGTGATATATTAACATATATATCATCTAGACTTACTAACGAGTCATCTATGTGTCGTTTTAAACACCCAAGAACTCTAATATCTACCTATAAATAAAAAACATTATAGTAAAACATAAGGTCATGTATTTTAATTTAGCTCAAATTGTAGGCTATAATTACATATTTCCCCATTTCTTTTCCTAGGGCTCAGTCTTGTCAACCCTGCCTTCTTGGTTATATTGGAAAATAGTGCTGAGTGCTAACCTGTCCATACGGGCTCGCTATCTGAGGAAAGCCAAGAAGAACTAAGCATTGACAACAGCATCAAGTAACTTGGCCGTATGCTCCAGCTCATGCCCGCCATTGCAGGTCACCCACCCAGCTCCAAAACCCCCAGTTGTCATTTTAATAGTTACTAATAAAGCTAAATGTGGTCATAATCGGGGAAAAAAGCACGTGTTCCTGATATGTATTCTGGTTGCTACCAGCAGTTATTTTGTAGGGTAATGTAAATGCTCATATCAGTTGGATATAGAACTAATATTAACAAGAACAACTTAATAGGAAGGAACACAATCATAGCAAATCACAGAATGATCGAGTTGGGCATAATGCCCAACAGTTTCATCTGACCCAAAATGCCAATGATGATTCTTGTATTTTCTCTGAAATAAACTTCTAAAGTCATGGCCAGCTACGCATTCTTGTTTTTAACAATTTGAGAGACCAGAGATTAATGGATTAATTTATGGGAGGACATACAGCCATTTGCATAGTTCTTTGTAAGCTTTTCTAAAGGCCTGTCCTAGTTGGTATGTTTATATGGAACTTTTTTTTACCCGAAGTAGCTAATGACATAAAAATAATTCACGAAATTTGGAGATTTTCTTACACATGAAGCCCATGAAAATATACTTTTGTCTAATATATTTTTGTTCTCAGTTTAAATGTATGTAATTACGAAATGCTATAGGATATGATTTACAAAGGTATACGGGCCAAAATGTACATTGAGCCTGGCAGCCACATGGGGTATCGCTAAAACCCTGACCCAGGAAAGCGGCATGCATGGACCAGCTGCTTTGGTTTCTACACTGCAATAACACTGCTTACCTGTGGGACAAGAGGCTACTCCTAGAGCAGTGATTTCAGAGAAGTGGCGTTACATTTTTAAAATGGTGGCCTATAGATAATTGATATAATTCATTTTAATGAAAGACGATATGACCATGGCATTGAGGGAAAATATATTTCTTTCGTGGTTGAAATGAGGGCCATTTTTACACTGGTTTAATATAAATTAAGGCTTACTTTTATTCTGCTACATACTTGTTTGGGAAGATTGCCAGGCAATAACCCATATTGTGAAATGTGCAACCGAAAAGGGGGATCTTTCCCTAGGCTGTGGTTCCAAGGCTCTGAGTTTTAAGCACAAGCAAATTAGGAAAAAAAAAAATTTTTTTATTGGGGTATTTAAGTGTTTCTAGCTTTAACTTTTGTCAGCTCAGGGCATAAAAACAGAAAACCAAACTACCCTCATTATATAAAAGGCATTTTGGCATACAAAAAGTAGGAAGAACATACTCTCAGAATAAGAAATAGTCATTTAAGTGTAGTAAATTGCTTGATGAGAAACATTGCCTTCTTCTCTCTGTCATTTTATTGAATCCACAACGACCTGGGCAGTATTTCATTTGCTTTCACACACTGTTGGTTGGCTGGCTGGCTGATGATTGTGGTGGTGGTTATTGGTAGGAAGTTGGCAGAGAGGGGGAGGGATTGGCTTACAAGTATACAGAAGACTTTTCCTTTCATCCCAGTTTGAAAAGTTCTATTCTGGCTAGGAAATCCCTTAGCAATCTTAAAACTTCTGAGCTATGGCTTTGACTGCTTCAACTTAGCAAATATCATTGTGTATTTGACACTCAGTGTTGAAGATGATGAAATGAAAATCCATGTTTCCAGGCACATGGAAGAAAAATTGTACTAAAAGAGCAACCGATATTCTCAAAACCTTCAACATAGTGAAACATAATTTTTTAGACTTAATTCTGTATTGACTTAATTGTCTGAAATGTGCTAGATAAGATTTGAACCCAAAAATCATAGAGTAGAAGATAGTATCGATTATTGATGTAGAATCAGCTCACCTCACGACACAGAAAGCATATTTTAATATGTTGTTCTTTCATTGCCCTTTCAGTGAAACAGCTTGGGGGGAACATGGGAGGAATTATCCTGCTCACATGACGACGTGTGCTGTTCTTATTTGTCATTGTGTCAGTCTCACATACACTGGGGATAGATAGATAAATAAATAAGTGCTAATGGGGATATTGTTGGTCTCCATTTCTTCAGAAGTGGTCCTGTCCTCAAGAAACGAATTCTGATTTCTAATTTGATATTTATTGCATCAAAATACAGTAGAACTGAACTTTATATGTAATGAACAACAATGCCAATACCAGTACAAATGGTGCTGATTCAATGTGGAAGAAAAGATTTATTGTGATAATATCTTATGAGAATAAAATGGGCTTAAGTAGTATTGTAAGTTCCTTGGTCTACTGACATAAAAAATTACCTGAGATTTAGATGCTAGTAGAGTCTGCTATTCTGCTGCATAGTTTACCAGTGTCAAAACAAATTGTCAAAGCTTTTTATTGAATATGTTGGAAATAAAGTTAATTTTTAAAAATGTTAAGGACTCACTACTTTGTGACATTCTAATGTTTTTAGATTAGCATGTTTGTGTCACTCATCTCATGATGCAGAACATATACACGTGGACAGGCTTTGAATTCCCTCGTGGAAATGTAGATCTTCTTTCTGTTGAGATCTAGAAATGGAACACCTGTCTAACGTGAACACAGACATATCAGATGAAAAAATTGTAATGTGATGAACAGCATGTTGCAGCTTTGTCCACTCTCTTGGTATATGTCATTGAAAAATAAGCAAACGTGGTCCTACAAAAAGTAATCCTGAAAGGATATAAATAAGCTTGTCTTCCTTTTTACGAAGGTTCTAGAAATACCATTGGGTGTGCTGATGGGTTGGCACAAGCAATCATGTGCTACTTACTCTTCTGGGTGCTGGAGAAACTGCAGTGAACAGAGCAGACAAAAATTCTTGCCCAGGTACTGCTTACATTTGAGGTGGGAGGAAGGGAACAGATAATAAGCAAAAGGAGTAATAATAATGCAGTATGAGTACCATATGCTATGGGAAAAATTGAAGCAAGGTTAGGAGGATGGAGAATAGTGTGTCAGGGTGGGAGGCTTGTGATTACCAATAAGGTATTGAGAGCACGCTTTAGTGAGGGGTGGCCTTGAACAGTCGGGGGCAGGCCTTTCAGTTACCTGAAGGAAGGGCATTTCAGGCAGACAGCCCGTGCAAAGAGCCCAGGGAGAAAGCATAACTGGTATGCTCCATGAACAGCTAGGAGTGTTTACATAGTGAAGCAGACTCTAAGTGATGTATTTCCTGAAGATTTCAGAGATCTTGCTTTAGTTATGACTTTCTAGTATTAAATGACCTTCACAGTCTTGGGCATATTTCACAATCTTTATACACTAGTGAATTCAGTTTGCTGGTATTTTATTTGGAAATTTTACATCTATACTTAGGAAATTGGGTTTTCATATCAAGATTATAATTTCATTAATGAGCTGGGAAGTGTTGCCCTATTTTACTATTCTGTAGAAGAATCTATAAAAGATCGGAACAATCTTTTCCTTGAAAGTTTATAAAAACTATCTGGCCCTAGTATTTATTCATGGAAAGATTTTTACTATTAATTGTTTTAATGGTAAATTTAATGACCACTTAAGGTTGCTCTTTTTTCTTGAGTCAATTTTGGGAAAAAAATTACATTCTAAGCATTTACTCATTTCTTTCCAAATGTATTAGCATAAAGTAATTCAAGGAATTTTCTTAGTCTTTAAACCACTGCTAGATATGTACTTAATTTCTTTTTCTAATATTGTTTGTATCTTCTTGCTTTCTTTTCCTTACCATTTTGTCAGAAGTATGTCTATTAGTTTTTTTAAAGAACCAAACTTTTGGCTTTATTGATCTTCTCTTTTCTTTTTATGGTCTGCTTTCTGGAGGGTTTATTCTATTATTTTTCTTTTTTTAAATGTGTTTTATTGATTATGCTATTAAAGTTGTCCCAGTTTTTCCCCTTTGCCCCCCCTCCACCCGGTACCCCCATTCCCTCCAGCAATACCACCCTTGAGTTCATGTCCATGGGTCATTCATATAAGTTGTTTGGCAAATCCATTTCCTATACTGTTCTTAACATCCCCATCTATTCTGTACCTACTAATTTGTACTTCTTAGTCCCTGCACCTTGCCCCCATTCTCTCCCTTCCCCCTCCCAACTGGTAACCCTCCAAATGATCTCCATATCTGTGATTCTGTTTCTGTTCTGTTTGTTTGCTTAGGTGTTGTTTTGTTGTTTTTTTTTTAGATTCAATTGTTGATAGTTATGAATCTGTTGCCATTTCATTGTTCATAGTTTTTATCTTTTTCTTATTTAATTCCCTTTAACATTTCATATTATAATGGCTTGGTGATGATGAACTACCTTAGCTTTACCTTATTTGAGAAGCACTTTATCTGCTCTTCCATTCTAAATGATAGCTTTGCTGGATAGAGTAATCTAGGTTGTAGGTACTTGCTTTTCATCACTTTGAATACTTCTTGCCCATCCCTTCTAGCCTGCAAAGTTTCTTTTGAGAAATCAGCTGACAGTCTTTTGGGAATTCCTTTATAGGTAACTATCTGCTTTCCTCTTGCTGCTTTTAAGACCTCTTTATCTTTAACCTTTAGCATTTTAATTATAATGTATCTTGGTGTGATCCTCTTTGGGTCCATCTTGTTTGGGACTCTCTGTGCTTCCTGGATTTATATGTCTATTTCCTTCACCAAATTAGGGAAGTTTTCTTTTATTATTTTTTCCAAGTAAGTTTTCAATTTCTTGTTCTTTCTCTTCTCCTTCTGGCACCTCTATGATTCGGATATTGGTACATTTGAAGGTATCCTGGAGGCACCTTACCGTATCCTCGTTTTTTTGAATTCTTTTTTTCTTGCTGTTCTGACTGACTGGCTTTCTTTTTTCTTCCTTAATTTCCAAATCATTGATTTGACTCTTACCTTCATCCTCTGATGGTTCCCTGTAGATTATTGTTTATTTCACTCAATGTCTCCTTCATTTCTGCTTGGATCTTTTTTTATGCTGTTGAAGTACACAAAGCATTCTTTCAGCATCCTTATAACCAGTGTTTTGAACTCAGTATCTGATAGGTTGCTTATCTCCATTTCGTTTAGTTCTCTTTCTGGAGTTTTGTTCTTTCATTTGGGCCACACTTCTTTGTCTTCTCATTTTGGTAGCCTCCCTGTGTTTGTTTTTAGTGGAGCTGCTTTGACTCCCTGCCTTGGTAGCATGGCCCATTGTAGGAAAGGCACCTGTAGGTTGTATGAGGTGGAGTTTTAGGTAGTCACCAGAGCAGGGCGATCCTTTTTACTGCTCTGTGGCTCTGTGGGGGGGTGGGGGGGGCGCTCAGAGAGGGAACAATGCCACTGCCTGGCCTCTGGAGTTTTGCCAGGAGGAAGCTGTCCCCCTGCACTTGCCCTGATGCCAGTCACTTCAGTTTCTTCCCATATGCCACTGGTGCCCTTCCAGCTGTTTCACTGGTGGAGAGTCCCAGAGGGATTAAGTCTGTATAAGTCCTCAGTCTGTTGTAGGTCCTTTAAGAGGAGTCTCCTGAGAATCCTGCAGTTTCCTCTGCTGCCTCAAACCACACTGGTTTTTACAGCCAGAAATTATGGGGACTTATCTTCCTGGTGCTGGAGCCCTGAGCTGCGTAGTCTGGTCTAGGGCTGGGATCTCTCACTCTTGAGGTATCCCTCCTGATTTTTATCCACCACACATGGATGTGGTACCACTCATTTCACATCTCTGTGCCTCTCTGCACCACTCTGCACCACTCTGCACCTTTCTGTACTTCTCCATCTCTTTGCGCCTCTGCGTGTGTCTCCGTGTCTCCACCCCTCCTGCCTGGATGAATGTGGCTTCTTTAAATCTTTGGTTGTAGGTCTTCCATGCAGCTTGATTTTCTGATGATTCTGGGTGATACTTGTTTTGTAGTGTAGTTGTAATTTTTGCTGTAGTTGTGCAAGGAGGCTAGGCGTGTTTACCTACGCCTCCACCTTGACCCAAAGCGTCATAATATTTTTTCTTCCTCTTTTTTTTAAATCCTCACCTCAGTATAGGTTTATTGATTTTTAGAGTGAGAGACATTGATCTGTTGTCTCCCATACGCAACTCTATACTCTATACAACATTTTGGTGTGTGGGCTGATGCGCCAACCAACTGAGCCACCCAGCCAGGCCTGCTCTTTCTCTTCTTCATAATTTGGGCATGTAATTCATGTTTCATATATTTTCTACTTTTACGCTAACATCTAAGGCTCTAATTGTTTTTATTATCTTTTGCTACATTGTATAATTTGTGTGTGTGTGTACACAAACGTACATATACTCACTATTTCTTTTTCAGGGCTAATATTTAAAAATTTACACTATGATTTCCTTGACCTATGGGTTATTTAGAAATGTTTTTTAAATGAACAATCTTAAGTTTTTAAAAGCATGAATTTAGGTTTTTATAAATGTATTTTCTTTTTTTAAAAAAAAACTTGTATTAGTATCACCATTAATAAGAATTTTACATTATGTGCATTGTGATATAATGGGCTAAAGATACATAATTTATGTGGCATTCCTGCCACAAACGCATAACCTGAATCTAATCAAGAATAAATATCAGAAAAACCTTATTTGGGAATATTCAACAACAAAACAGCCTATACTTGTCAAACATTTCAGATTAAAGAAATCTGAAAAGTAAATCTGAAAAGTAACAGATGATTTGGATTGTATCGTAGTGGAGAAAAAAATGTGGGATTTTTTTTTTTTTTTTTTTTTTGCTATACAGGATATTTTTGAGACAATTGGTGAAACTGAGTAAGAGCTGTAGGTTAGATAATAGCATCATATCAATGTTAATTTCCAGAGTTTGATCATTGTACTGTGGTTACTTAAGAAAAAGTCCTTTTTAGGAAATGCATACATAGTACAGTATTTAGGGATAATAAGACATTGCATATGCAACCTAATCTCAAAAGGTTAGAGAAAATTATGTGTATAGAAAATGATCGAGCAAATGTGGCAAAATATTAATATTTGAAGAGTCTAGGTGAAGGATATATGGGAATTCTTTATCCTGTTTTTACAAATGTCCTGTAAATCTTAAATTATTTCAAAATAAAATGTTTTAAAAAATATTTTGTTATTGATTTCTAAATAATTGCATTCTGATTAGAAAACATGTGAGTATGATATAGCTTGGGCAAGTTACAGTCTTTCTTTGCCCCAGCTTTTGCCACCTGAAAAACAAATACTAATGTTAAAGTGCTCAGAATCCAGTTTGGAAGAGAGAGAGAGAGAGAGAGAGAGAGAGAGAGAGAGTGTGTGTGTGTGTGTGTGTGTGTGTGTGTGTGTAAAATGGCCACCAAAAACATTGGGTCCTAATCCCTGTACCTCATAAATGTCACCTTATATTTTTAAAAGGGTGTTTGCAGATGTGATTAATTTAGGGATCCCAAGATCATCTTAGATTATCCAGATGGG